TAGGAAAATTGCCACGTGGAAATTTTGGAACGTACAATGCAGTGAATAGTGAGGCAACACACACACACACACTCTAGACTCTGTGTACAAGGGGTATGAGAGTTGATCTGTGTACACACTCGGTAGGCTGTGAAGGGTCGCCCCCCACCCTTCAGCACTGGTCAACAACCACCGGTCCATTGCTATACCACCACCACCACTGACCAGAATCATTATGGTCAGAATGCCTTTAGTAAAGATGTGCACAGAATGCAACAAGGATGTAGATTACCACCAGAGTTTCCAGTGCTAACTATGTTTAGCAACGATACACAGTAAATGTGCCAACATGTCAAATAATGCCAGGAAAATTGGTCCCAGAGACTACTCGGTGTACTGGTTCTGCAAAAAGGATAATATTACTGTCTTGAAGATGATCGCAATTCGTGATAAAACCCCAGCAGAGCACTAAGAATCACTTCTAACTGTCTGCAGGGAAATCTCCAATGTTTTCAAACAAATCGTCAAGGACACCTAGGCAGAACCAGAATTGGAGCTACATCTAAGCGCGTCGGGATCCGGATTGGCGCGGAGCCGGATGAGACGTTGGTGTTGGGGTCGGATGCGACGTTGGTGTCGGGGCTGGATGTGACGTTGGAGTCGGGGCTGGATGCGACGTTGGCGTCGGAGCTGGATGCGATGTTGGTGTCAGAGCCGGATGCGATGTTGGCGTCGGGGCGGATGTGATGTTGGTCTCGTGGAGGTGAAACTAGTACTCTGAGAGAACTCTATGAACATCAGAGGTCCGAGACTGTTCAACACGCAGCCACTACACATCAGGGGCATAACTGGCCGACCCCCTCACAGTGTTCAAGAAAGAACTTGACAAACACCTCCAAAGGATACCTGATCAACTAGACTGTGACTCATAAGTCCGGCTGCGAGTAGCCGCGTCCAACAGCCTGGTTGACCCGTCCAACAATGAGGAGGACTGGTCGACGACCGGGCTGGGGGCAACTAAGCCACGAAATCACCTCAAGGTAACCTCAAGGTAACCTCAAGGTAAGGTTCACATAGCAAGACTACGAGGGGCCCTTCATCTTCACATATAAAGACTACGAGGTGACCTTCATCTTAACATAACAAGACTTACGAGGGGACCTTCATCTTATCATAGCAAGATTTACGAGGCAGGTGTGTGTTCCATGGGACCGCAGTTACTCCCGAGAAAAAGACAATTGACAGCACATTCCAGAAACATCTTCCAGGTTATTGATCGAGGGCTCTGGTGGACAGGATAGAGAAATGTGGGGGACGTTGGGTGGGATTGTGTGGGGGCTCGGAGGGCGTTGGGTGGGAACTGAGGCGAGACAATCCGGGGGGCGTTTGGTAGGAGAGGAGGTGGGCTGGGGGGCGTTTGGTGGGAGGTGAGAGGGGTGCTGGTGGGGGCGTTTGGTGGAAAATGAGAGGGGGGTGGTTTAATGGGAGGTGAGGGGGCGGGGGTAGACTGGCAGGGTTATTTTATGGGAGGAGAGGGTTGGGGTTGGTTTACGGGCTATTCATGCCCGTGCCACCTCTTGGGGGGCTTAATCTTTATCATTCTTGGGGTTGGTGGAACTCACTCAACGCCCAGGACGGGAGATATCTCCCGTCACGTAGGGTGCAGTCGCACCTCCACAGATCTCCAGTATCATCTATTGATACTAGTAATGGATCAAAAGGGCCACCACTTACGGGCTATTCATGCCTGTGCCACCTTCTGTGTGTGTGTACTTACCTAGTTGTGCTGCTTGCGGGGGTTGAGCTCTGGCACTTTGGTCCCACCTGTCAACGGTCAATCAACTAATGTACAGGTTCCTGAGCCTACTGGGCTCTATCATATCTACACTTGAAGCTGTGTATGGGGTCAGCCTCCACCACATCACTTACTAATGCATTCCATTTGTCAACCACTCTGACACTAAAAAAGTTCTTTCTAATATCTCTGTGGCTCATTTGGGTACTCAAATACCACCTTTGTCCCCTGGTGCGTGTCCCCCCTGTGGTTAATAGCCTTTCTTTATCTACCCTCTCAATTTCCTTGAGAATCTTGAATGTGGTGATCATGTCCCTCCTAACTCTTCTGTCTTCCAGCAAAGTGAGGTTTAATTCCCGTAGTCTCTCCTCGTAGCTCATACCTCTCAGCTCGGGTACTAGTCTGGTGGCAAACCTTTGAACCTTTTCCAGTTTAGTCTTATCCTTGACTAGATATGGATTCCATACTGGGGCTGCATACTCCAGGATTGGCCTGACTTATGTGGTATACAAAGTTCTGAATGATTCTTTACACAAGTTTCTGAATGACGTTCTTAAGTTGGCCAGCCTGTGTGCGTGTGTGTGTGTGTGTGTGTGTGTGTGTGTTTACTAGTTGTGTTTTTGCGGGGGTTGAGCTTTGCTCTTTCGGCCCGCCTCTCAACTGTCAATCAACTGTTTACTAACTACCTTTTTTTTTTTTTTCCACACCACACACACACACCCCAGGAAGCAGCCCGTGACAGCTGACTAACTCCCAGGTACCTATTTACTGCTAGGTAACAGGGGCACTTAGGGTGAAAGAAACTTTGCCCATGTGTTTCTGCCTCGTGCGGGAATCGAACCCGCGCCACAGAATTACGAGTCCTGCGCGCTATCCACCAGGCTACGAGGCCCCCGCTACTTGTGAGGCCCCGCTGTGTGTGTGTGTGTGTGTGTGAGTACATAAGCATGTACATAACCTAGGTGCAGCTATAACAGTCCAATTTAACCATATTAAGATCTGAACTCTGCAATTCAATATTACGCAAATGAGGTCATCAAAAGACTTTTATTCCAAAATTCTCCTTGATGATGCAATTTCTTAGATTACCTGAGTTCAAGATTTCGCCTGGATATGAAAGTCTAATTTAAGCAAATGTGATATTTTTTTTTTATACCAGATCTAGAGGAGATGGTTTAGTTAAGACTCACAGATGTACGCACACACACACACACACACAAACACACACACACACACACACACACACACACACACACACACACACACACACACACACACACACACACACACACACACACAGGCTGGCTAACATCAGAACAGGCTGGCTAACATCAGAACAGGCTGGCTAACATCAGAACAGCGTTCAGGAACCTGTGTAAGGAATCATTCAGAATCTTGTACACCACATATGTAAGACCAATCCTGGAGTATGCGGCCCCAGCATGGAGCCCGTACCTTGTCAAGCACAAGACGAAGCTGGAAAAAAGTCCAAAGGTATGCCGCTAGACTAGTCCCAGCACTAAGAGGCATGAGTTACGAGGAAAGGATGCGGGAAATGCACCTTACGACCCTGGAGGACAGAAGAGTAAGGGGAGACATGATCACAACCTACAAAATACTCAGGAGAATCGACCGGGTAAACAAGGATTAGCTATTCAACACTGGTGGTACGCGAACAAGAGGACACAGGTGGAAACTGAGTACCCACTTGAGCCACAGGGACATTAGAAGGAACTTTTTCAGTGTCAGAGTAGTTAACGGATGGAATGCATTAGGCAGTGATGTGGTGAAGGCTGAATTCCATACACAGCTTTAAATGTAGATATGATAGAGCCCAGTAGGCCCAGGAACCTGTACACCGGTTGATTGACAGTTGAGAGGTGGGACCAAAGAGCCAAAGCTCAACAACCGCCAGCACAAATAGGGGAGTACAAATAGGTGAGTACACACACACACACACTCGGGAATTCAGGTTACCAATGAGAGCACAAGCTCCATACATAGAACTCTGACAGCAGTAGCAGTAGTTAACTAGTATGGCACGTGGCTTCTAGATTTCAACGCACACAAATATAAAATTATTAAAATGGGAAGAGGGGGTAAGTAACAATACAGTGCCCAATTAAAGTGTGTTTTCACGATACTGGAATTCACATTGTAATCAATCATTCTTCGGAGACACAAATACTCCCATTATCACCATCCACTAAGTGAGTAAAAATTAAATAAACCTTTAGAAAACCTTGAAAATGATTCATTCAGAGTATATACTCCATGTACGCGAGTACTAGTGCAAGAACCTGCGGCGCTCCCATGGACCCATGGCGAATTAGTGAGTGTTTAGTAACAGTGGAATGTTCAGAATACTTCGTCAATGTAAGTCAAAGACAGTGAAATATTATGGAATGTTTTTCAATGCGAGTCTGGGACTCAGTGGAATGTTAGGAAATGTTTCAAAATGAAAACAATTTAAATTTTAAAACAGTCCTAGCTCTCCTAGTTTTTAGAAGAGCTCCAGATTTTCTACAACCATACTCACCTTGTTTTAGAAGCAGATGCAACAGTGCATGATTTTATAAGATAAGATTCTATACGTAATCACTCCATTGGCTATTTTATTTAACTTATATGAAACTGACACTATTTTCTTTCCAATCTTTTCACTATTGAGTTCCAACTACAAATTCAGGGGTTAAAGTCACTCAACAAGCTTTAACAAATATTTCCCGATTAACGCAACTGCGAATTTTGGTTTGAAAGACGGGGTGTGTAGCTCCAGCTTGGACTAACCTGTCATAATTTCTGAGTGGCATTAGATACAGTTAAAATTGTCTGTTAAAAAAAGAATGGCTACTTTGCTATTTAATTTAACTGATCTCCTATTGACTGCGACAGAGGTACTTTCCTCTAGAGTCTAGGGGAACCCTAGAAGGTGACTAGAAGCACCAAAGTGGGGTGGCAAATAACACGAGATTTTAGAGTTGCAGACTGCTCTGTTCAGGCTACTCATCAGAGATAACGTGAGAGAGGCAACGTTGGTAAATTGGTTTAGATTATCTGATAGAATCTAAATGGCCCAGACTACTTGAGTGTCTATGGCGGAGATCCACTTGTGTGTAACTATCAGAATGAGGTTTACTCAGATTATTTTTTGAGACATTGGGACTATAAGAATTTTTGGAGTCGGTACAGACTACCTGTAGGAGGCTCCTTGACACAGACTTACCTGTTCCAACTCTCTGATCCAAGGCTACCTGGCGCACCTGAACATCAAAGAGAGCGAAATGCGGCACAACCATCAATCCCTCTTCCACTGATGGGATTTCCTGCTCACTGGGTTCTTAATCCTGCTATCTCCAGGTACACACTACCAATAGTCGTTGGTAATTATCTTATAGCTCAGGTGTATGTGGTTGTGGGTGAGAGTTTGTGCTCACCTAGTTGTGTTTTGGGGGGTTGAGCTCTCGCTCTTTAGGACCCCCCCCTCTAAACTCTCAATCAGTCAACTGACATTTTTACTCCACACACACACACACACACACATGGTTAGAGAAACAGACAAAATTAGAGAAGATTCAGAGGTATGCCACCAAACTTGTCCCAGAGCTGAGAGGTATGACCTACAGGGAAATGTTACGGGAATTAAACTTTAGACCCTGAAGAACAAAAGTTAGGGGAGACATGATCACCACCTACAAAATTCTCAAAAGTATTGACAGGGTGGACATAAATAAACTATTTATCATAAGTGGAACTCGAACAAGGGGACACAGGTAGATAGCGCCCAGTGGGCTCTGGAAACTCTATACCAGTTGATTGACAGTTGAGAGGCGGGACCAAAGAGCCAAAGCTCAACCCCCGCAAGCACAAATAGGTGAGTGCAGGTGGAAACTTAGTACTAAAATGAGCCAAAGATATTATAAATAATTTTTTCAGTGTCAAGCTAGTTAACAAATGGAATGCATTAGGCAGTAACGTGGCGGAAGCAGACTCCATACTCAGTTTCAAATGTAGATGAAATAGAGCCCAAATGGCTCAGTGACCTGTACACCAGTTGATTGACAGTTGAGAGGTGAGACGAAAGAGCCGAAACTCAACCTCTGCAAGCACAACTAGGTGAGTACACACAAACGCCTAATGACACAAACATATTCCCATATTATACTTTACATTTCAATAGTTACATTTTAAATATATACAGACAAGCCAAAATATTTTTCCAAATAAAATATCATACTCCTTGGAATTGACTCAGCCAGTAAACACATTACACATAATTTGCATAAACTCTAAAGACGGTAATATCAAAGCTCAATTCACCCTGAATAAAATTCGGATAACGTTTGAGACAGACCATATACTGACGGATCACTCAATACAGCTACAGGGAGAGCAGGCAGTGCTGTTATTGCTCATCAGCCCGATAGCAGGACAATTCAAAGGAACATTCGAATTAGTAACTGGGCATCTATAATGCAAGCCGAGTTGGTAGCAATACTGGTAGCACTCAAAATTATTGACAAAACTGAAGTAGACAGATTAATTATTTCCGACTCCCTTTCCTCACTACGAGCAATAAACAGTTTGCAATCAAGTAATAACGTGCTTGTTTTGGAAGCTAAATATATATGAATACTTAGCGAGAGGGTAAATATAAAAATGTTGTGGATTCCTTCTCACATTGGCCTGCAGGAACATGACAAAGTTGACGCCCTTGCTAAGGCTGCAGTAAATAAAGACAGTATTGAACGGAATTTCGAGTTATCAAAAAGGTCCAAAAATTAAAGTGTCATTAGAAGAGAACTCCTGGGTGGATTTGAAGAAAGTAGAACTGTGCAAACTGGAACTAGCAGGTCCATTGTTCATCACAATGAAATGTGTGAAGTAAAACATGTATATGGGGCAAGTAACAAGTAGACTAACAGATGTTGGCACAGCTTGTATAAGACTTGGCTACAAGTATCTCTGGCAGTTCGGCTTGTATAGGGATCTAGATGAAGTAAAGTGTAAAGTGTGTGGACAAAGACAGGGACACACACTAGAGCACTATATTTTGGATTGGTGTAAAATTGAGCCAATTAGAGATAAATCTAAGCTCACACTGTATGATATGGCAACCTATCTTATTACCATGGATAAATTACCTGAAATCCTTGCACTGTATCCATATTTCGCTTCCAGTAGATAAATGACATATGAGATAAAGAAACAAGTAGTGTATTATGAAGACTAATAATAAACAGAAGCTATCCTATGACTATCTCCATTGGTCAAACTATTATGTATTAGCGATAAGACCTACCATTAATGTATAATGACTTACTGCAAATGTATAGCTCTTGAAATAGCACTTTATAACTAGCTGACATTGTAACTATAAGGTGTGAGGGATAGATGAAATATTTTATGTAATAATTTAAGATGAGGTCTGATAAAGACCTTTTGTGCCCTCTGTAATGTTTTTTGCGCTACCGCTCAAAGATGGGAATGGGGTACACAATAAACTAGCCGCCTCCGGCGGCATCAATCAATAAAAAAACTGATATAAAGAGATCAACCGGTGGGAGGGCCTCTCCTAACGGTATGAAAGGAAAAATTTCCTAATAAGCGACGTAAATAAAGAGTGAAATTAATAAAGAATATAAGAGATCATTTACGAATGCTAGACTTTGTAGGGTACCCGGCTGATCCCGGGTCACTGTCCCCCAGTCCTCCCCCTTCTTCTCCAGCTTTCTCACCTCTCACCACTTTCCTTTCCTATTCTCTCTCTCTTATGCGCTCCACCTTTCTACCCTCTTTTCTTTATCGCTATTTCTCCTAATCTCTTTTGCCTTTTTGGCCGACTATCTCACAGTCTGTCTATCTGTCTGTCTATCTCTCTCTCTCTCTCATATGTCATTTATAAAAATAATACAACAGTATACCATTGGGGGTTTAGGTGGTCTGCCGGAAGGAGGACCCTATAGGGGTGCGAAATATTAAATAAATATAACAGTTACACGTTTCCTTTGAGAAATGAAATGAGTTTGAGAAAGCTTTTGAAGGTGCGGGGAAGAGAAGGTCATTATTAAGGGTAAGCGCCAAACCATTACGACTAAATAGCACTTGGAAGGGATCACGATAAGGATTTGGGATGGGACGGGGAGGAAGGAATAGTGCCCAAGAGGATCGTTTGATTTATGCTTGTATGGTGGTTAAAGCAAAAATAGTTCAAAATTTATGATAATTTCGCTAACATAACTGAATAATTTATCAAGGTCAGTGAATATTTTATATATATATATATATATATATATATATATATATATATATATATATATATATATATATATATATATATATATATTTATATATAAAATATATAATATATATATCTATATGTGCGAACAAGCCTGAATGGCTTGATATATATATATATATATATATATATATATATATATATATATATATATATATAAAATATATATATATATACATATAGATATATATCAAGCCATTCAGGCTTGTTCGCACATATAGATATATATATTTTATATATAAATATATATATATATATATATATATATATATATATATATATTTATATATAAAATATATATATCTATATGTGCGAACAAGCCTGAATGGCTTGATATATATCTATATGTATATATATATATATTTTATATATATATATATATATATATATATATATATATATATATATATATATATATATATATATATATATATATTTATATATAATTATTATATATATTATAAAAAATACAAAAATACACACAAAATAATTAAATCAAAATTATCGACTGTTGAAAGACTGTTGACATGGCTCAAGGGTTACCTGAGAAATAGAACCGCCTCAGTTCTTTTCAAGGGGGTCAAAAGTAAACTTTGTGCACATTTTGAGTTGGGTACACCCTAGGGTGGAGTGCTAAGTCCTACATTGTTCAATGTTCAGAGGCACAAATTAACAATTGGTATTCCCACACTACCTGACGAAGCCGTCATTTGTTATGCCGATGACATATGCATTGTTGCAAATTCCCAAACTAGATTGCAAGCTCTACTTGATTCATTCGCTGCCAACAGCATTCAACCTGGTCTTGTTATCTCTATAACTAAATCTATAGTTCTCCATCCCCAAGAGTAAACTCATGTACCTATAACTTTCAAGGTCAACAACCAGAACATTGAAACGTGTAGGCAGCACAAATACCTTGGAGTTGTTATTAACAGGGACATTGTAAATGATCTACACCGTATGTTAAAAGAAAGACTAAAACAATTGAAAACACTTACTGGTAAGAATATTGATATCAATATTAAATATGTTAGACTATTCTATATGATGTTTGTTAAATTTCTTGTTGATTATAATGCTTTTATAATTAATTTCCTCTCCTCTATGTTGGACAAACTTGAAGTAGTACAGAATGAAGCCATGAGGATAATTCTTGGTGCCCCAAGATGCACAAGAATCATCAACATGCGGGATAAACTGAAGCTTCCAACCATACTAGAGAGAATCCTGCAAGTTAATACTACCTTTTGCCTTAAATACCTTCCATATGTTCCCTCATTGTGTTCCTGTACAAATCTAGTGGTAGACCTCAGGGGTCTGGTGTGTGTAGAAGTACAAGGTGGTAGAAACGGTCACGGTGCCTCCATACATTGTGTGTGTGTGTGCGTGTGTGTGTGTGTGTGTGTGTGTGTGTGTGTGTGTGTATTTATGTGAAAACAAATTAAAATTATCGTTGATTGACAGTTGAGAGGCGGGCTGAAAGAGAAGAGCTCAATCCCCGCATGCTCAACAAGGTGAATACAACTAAGTGAATAAACATCACATACACACAAGAAAAACACACATACATAACATCAGCAGCGGCAGAAAAATATTCTACACATCGAAGCTAACAAAAGCCTCCAGGTCAACGACATCAATATCATGCTCTCCTCCCAAAACATCTCCATCACCATCAAAATCAACAAACATAGACTTCTTCTTCCTCGTCTATCTACATTGGCTTCCATTCTGCCATCTTTGTTGCTAGATTTCGTAGTTCCTTTTCCGGTTTACAGAAATAGCAAGTCTTGAAACTAGTGTTCTTCAAACAGTTTTATTAACCCTGTTGTTTCTTGATCGTGTGCCAGTTCCGTGTTGTTCTCCAATCACTTGTCTCCTAGCTCTTGTTCTCCAATCGTGTGTAAGTTCTCTTTTTTTCTATAGCTTACCAGTTCCCCTGTGTTCTTCCAACACTTGCCCGATCCCCTTTGTTCTTCCAAAACTTGCAAGTTTCCC